GATTTTAGATACAACCGACATTGAAATCAAGAATGTCCTCCACATCAAAGACTCTTGATTGATTGTCTAGGTCTTCTATCACTTTCTTCTTCACTCGACTCTTCACGTGCAGCATGAAAGTGAAAAGGATTAAATTTGGCATCTTTGTAGGTGAAGAGATCACCCTTTTACCCAGGAGTTATGCGAGCTACGTAAGTTGCTGAATGTGCTTTTTGAGGGCTTCAATCACCTCGTCTCTAGAATCTCCAAGTAGGTCTACAAAAATCCCCTTCCACTGTCCCTTCTCCCTGCCATGGATTTTCTGAAATCATAAACCAAAAGCAGGGAATCATGAAAACCTCATTGAAAAAGCAAGATCTAGGCTGAATTCGACAAACCTTGGCTTAAGATCAGCAAACCCTAGACTTGGCTGTAGTTCCCTGGCCTTGGTGAAGAAACCTGAGCTTTGATAGTAAATTCATGTAGGATAATTGATAGAGTACAAAAACAACAATGATTTGGGCAAATCATGAGTAATCTCTTGGGGAAACCTAATGGTTCTCCAATGTAAACCCTAACGGGCGTACATGAAAGCACAAAAGCTTCCTTCTGTTTAAACAAGTCACACGAATAACCACTAAAAGGCGCCACACAACTGTCAAATAATGTTTATTTAATTGTTCAAGCATACTAAATGTCCATATGATGAAATAAAATGACCTAAAAATTTCTAACGTAACCAGAAATTTGTAATGACATTTTCACCTTTGATAAAACGAAATAGTCCATAAACATTGTACTTTTTCTAAAGAACTCTTATAAATTCTAAGAATTAAAAAAAAAAAGAAAAAAAAACCCAAGAATCCATGCAACAACTTAAAACCCTAAAACTAAAATTAAAATATAAATCATTTTAAATTAAATCATCATTCGAGCTTTTTCTCAACTATTTTGGGGTTGACTACATGAATTGTGGTCTGCCATTCTGCTCTATCAAGGGCTATAGCCTTAGTGAGGTCATAATTCCTCATATCGTTTCTCACTGTTTCCAACCATGTCATTTTGGGCCTACCCCTTGCCCTTTCTTAGCCTTCCACTTAACTAACTCGCACCTCTTAACAGGTGTTGTACTGGGTCTGCATTACACATGGCCAGCACACCTGCTTACTTTCCCTCATCTTATCGCCTATTGGAGCCACTCCTAAGGTCCTTTGTATGTATTCCTTTCGAATTCTATGCTTTCTTATCTTGCCACTCATCTGTCTCAACATCCTCATCTCAGCTACACTCATCCTATGGATATGTTGTTTCTTGACCGCTTGACATTCTGTCCCATAAAGTATGACTAGTCTTACAACTGCCCTATAAAACTTCCCCTTTAGTTTTATTGGTATATGGCCACATAAAACTCTAGATGTGTATCTCCACTTCACCCACCCAGCTGTAATTCTACGCGCAACATCTTCCTCAATCTCTCCATTCTCCATTCTTCAGCTAATTTTAAATCTTTAGATTCTAGAGCATCCCTCCAAATTTCTAACTTTTCATTGATGTTGCCTCTAGTCTCATCAATCAAAACTATTTCATCAGCGAATAATATGCACCACGATACATCATCCTGTGGATGCCTAATTAACTTGTCCATAAGCAAAACAAATAGATATGGGCTCAATGTTGACCACTGTTTCAAAAAGCGGACTGCCCAGTGCCTGAGCGGCCGCCTAGGCGAATATTCTTGGGCGCCCGCCTGAACTCGCCTAGGCGGCCGCTCAGGGCTTGTGCCCCACCTAGGGGCAGAAATGCGGCTCCTTGAGGGTATTTTTGGGTCTTTTTTTAAACACTATATGGGAATAATTGTGGTTTTAGGTTCATTTGAAACCTAAAACCCATTAGAGGCTATTTTAGAGAGAGAAAACCCAAAAAAAATAGTTTTCTACTGGGCCGTCCAGGTTCTGGGCGCCCGCCTAGGTGCTGGGCGGCCTGGACCCCCCCGACCGCCTAGGTTCTGCTTAGCGCTTTTTGAAACACTGATGTTGACCCCTAAATTAAATAAAAATTGTAAACAATAAATTTTTTATCATGCATCAAAGGGCCAAATTAGTCCTAAGGACTTTATATACAAGAAAATTAAATATAAACTTTGGTATTCACAATATTAGATACCCTCAAGTTCCTGTGTTGCAGTCAACATGCAATTTCTATATTCATCTGGTGGCCTTCCCCCCAAACGCCCCGCCCTTTATATTGGCCTTAGACTAGAACCATAAGTAACCAACTTCCATTGACAAACCGAGTCCTCAGTGCAAGAACACAATGCCGTTCAATGACAACAATCAAGTAGATAAGAGAAGAAGAAGAGTGAGAAAGATTAAGGTCGAGGAAGAAAAAGAGTTCTACTATAGATATGGAGAGAGAGAGAGAGAGAGAGAGCCACATCGTGGAGAGAATTAGAGAGGGTTCATGGTGGTGTCATGGTAAACCACAAGTCCCACTTATAATAAAAGGTACAATGATGCCCGTGAGTAAGGGAATAGACAAATAAGTCCTTAGGAACTTGTATACAAGAAAATCAAATGTAAACTATGATATTCACAACACTAGACACCTCCAGGTTCATGTGTTGTAGTCAAAATTGGGTTCGATATTCATGCGGTGGCTTTCCTCTCAAAGCCCTATGTATTGGCCTTAGACTGGAAATCATAAGTAACCAGCTTCCATCGGCAAACCGAGTCCTCAGTGCAAGAATTGAAGACCTTTCAATGACTAAAGGCCCTAATGAACACCAAATCCCTGATGCCTTCCCTGGGTATCCAACAGTCCACATCGCTTCCCTTGAAGATCTTGTTCTTTGTTTCCTTCCATTTGCTGCAGAAGATAGCTAGGGTTTACATCTTCCTCTGTAGTTGGTCCTTTCTAGGCAATGAACACGAGACTCCATACAAATTCAGGTGACTTCAAATGATATTAGGAAAATTCCCAGTTCTCTCTTTAGCGGGGTCACTCAAAAAGAACATAGCTTGTAGTCTCCTTAGATCCCCAAGGTGGACATACTTTATGAGCACGAAAAACAATTTGAGTCGTTTAAATGAAGGCTCCTTATTATGAAGATTTTGTGTTGTTGCCTTCATGAGTTGCTTTGGAGCATAGTTGTTGGGATTGGGTGTGGGAATGGTACTTGTATTGGGATCGGGAGCTAGGGATCGTGAAATGCTAGAAGATCCCTATGGTTGGGAACACCGTTCGTACAATGCTCATGTTAGGGATCGAGATCCCCAAATGTTAGGGATCGAGATTCTAACCTTTGGGGATCTTGATCCCGACCTTTTGGGATCTTGATCCCAACTTTTTAGAGATCTTGTTACCAACCTTAAAATCTATGATAATCAATGATAATATATACTCTTTAAAGTAGGGATCTCATTATTTATGGCAAGCAAGCAATATTTGTGTCGCTAGTTGGCTATAAACAAAGAAAATCATCAATTTGGTTGTTGTCGTAGTCTTTATGGTTGGGATCGAGATCTCTAACAACAAGAATCGGGATCCTTTTCTATGGGGTACGAGATCCCAAAATTTAAAATTCGAGATCCCTTAGAGATCCGTTCCAGGAGCGACAAAATCGAGATTCTAGAAGGGATCGCCTACCAAAGTAGGAGATCCTGGTAACTATGCTTTGGAGTATTATTAGAGGGTCTTGGTCTCATGGACAACCTCCATTTGCAAAAGCCCATATGGTTATCCAGCCCATTGAATCCATGGCCTTTATCTTGGTCTCATGGCTGATCTCCATTACCGAAAGCCCATACGGCTATCCAGCCCATTTGCATCCATAGCCTTTATAATAGGAGTTTGCTTTGGATAGGATGATATGGGGCTACATAACTCTCGTGAGTCCTGAAGGATTTATCTTATCTTGTCCTAAATGTGATTGAAACTGAAGTGATCCACAAGAGAGGAATATCAGATCTGTATGGGGTAGTATGTGATTGACAAGGGCATAGGAAGATGGGATTTATGGCATTAGGGGCCAAGGCAAGTTTGACTTGAGTTTTAATTTGGCTTACTATGGTTAATTAGGCTGATTTTGCAAGTTTGAATCAAGGGGCATAAATCTGTCCTTAAGTGTCTCCCGGAAGAAGCAATATTTAAGTTTTATGCAAATGCTACTTTCCTTTTTGTAGCAAAATGGAAAGAAAAAAGGAAAAAGGTTTCCCATTTAGAGTTCTATTTCTCATGGAGTTGTACATCTATGAGGCCTCTAAGGGTGGCAAAAGGTCGGGAACGGAACGACTGGACCCGGGCCTGAATAGTATTCGGGCCCAAAATTTGGACCCGTACTCGGACCTGTCAGGTCCCTGGTCTACTCGTCGGGTCCCAGGTGTGGTCGGATCCATTGCCACTCTATGATTATGAGCTTATTATTATTTTTTTGCCCTTTTTTTCACCATTATATACCTTATTACTACAAACTTCTTTTTTTGCCAATAATACTGTAAATGTTGCGAATTTTGTGACAATATGAACACCTAGCGCATGCCTAAAGATACATGATTGCCATATTATATCCTATGACTACGAGTACAGGTCGGGTCTAGATCGACCCAGACCCAGACCCAAATAGTATTCGGGTCCAAAATTTGGACACATACTTGGACCCAAAGTCGGGTATACTCGTCGGGTCCCGGGTCTAGTCTGGTGTAGTTTGCTAATTCCTTTTATATATTATCACGACAAATTTTCTCTTAAATTCATTCAGAAATATAAATTGATTGGGTGTTGCTATTTGGAAATGTGGGATTTGCATGCCTAAGTTTTCATATAGTTTCCATCATGTTTCCGCTTTTCTATCTGCAAAGTTTTATTTGTAAATATTTGTAAATATTTTCCAGGAGTCAGTTTCACATGTGGCGTATATTATTAGATCCATATGTTACGATCCTTGGTTAACGAGAAGGCCATGTGATATATTTAAAAACTAATGATTCTTCTTTTCTATGGGCTTCAATGCCTTGTTGCAATAGGGAGCTATTCTTTGGGACAAAGGGAATCGGTATCACATGCGGCGTATTCTCTTAGATCCATATGCTAAGATTCTTGGCAATTTCAATTACAATGAAGGTTTGAATGATGAATTGACAAACTAAACTACAATTGTGAAATTCTTCATGAGAAAGCTGTTTGTGTTTGACATGTTTTATAACTCTTTATGCCTTATGGTCATAGGTGGATCTGTCCCATTGGTGAAGTGTCTTGGTCGCTTATATACAGAAACTGCTTTTGATTGGGATGGCGATACCAGTCCATGGTAATATCTTGTGCTCGCACTTAATTATCAGTACCCCTTGTATGAATTTTAATCTTATGCAATAAACATGTTGTTGACATGGATTATCTCTTTGTGGTTGACTTGTGTGCTGATCTTGCTCTTTCTTCTGCCTGCCTCATTATCCCCCAGACAAGTAAATTCGAATTTAAAAAATTAGAAAAAAGGAATTTAGACGAGTGTAAAAGGATGTTCAGCATAGCCACTATCTCTGAATATGAGTAAAAAACAAAAGATATTGAGTCTTGCTAGTTAGATGTTTTTCTTCCATTATTGTTCATTTTTAAGGAATCAAAGACTAACATAGCTTTGGAAACTACAAGGGCGATAACATTCTAAGGATATGGATTATTTTGTGTTTCAAAGCTAAGATGTTGACATTTTCTTTCAACTGGTGAGTATTATTTGACCCCTTAAATGTGTTTCATACAATTTTGTACATTTAAACAACTTTATGCTTTCTGTTTGTTACTTTATTGATGAGAATGAATTTAGGGCCAGTTTGGTTCCCAGGAAATGGGTATCTGGAAATGGCCTGTAAATGCTGTTTAGATGCCCAACCAGGGCGGGAATCCCATTTCTGCATGGAGACCGATTTCCATGATTTTAGCCTTTTTTTGTGGAAATGTTAATTCCACCAATTTTGGTGGAATTAACATTTCCGGGAGATTGAAAGAGAGCCATGTGCGCCAAAAACTTGCAGTAAGTTATATTTTTATAGAGTGGGTTGAGGTCTGCTGAAAAAATAACCTCAAACCCCAGAGCTGTAATAATTATAATAAATTAATAATATAATAATTAACAATGGAATTCTTATAGTGGTTTTATTCCCTGATAAAATGATCTTAACATATAAATTTTATGTAATAACTATATATATAAATAGGAAAAAGCTAGCGTAGGCTTGCTAGTATAAAGCTACATATGAGCCCAACGGCTCATATTCAATCTAGGCCGATCCAATTATCACAATTGTATTTCGTATTTGAATTTTAATTTTTTTTCTCTAAATCCAAATCACTTAAAAATTTGAGCGTGTTTTCTTTAAAAATAGGAGAATTTAATAAAACTATCAAAAAACAATTTGTGAAAATATATTGACCAAAATACCCCCAAAATTTTTGGGGGTATTTTGTCAATTTATATTTTACGAATTATTTTTTAATATTTTTATTAGATGCATCTTGATGAGAAGAATAGACGACTAAAATTTCATGTGATTTGGATTTGTACAAAAAAAATATAATTAAAATACGAAATGAGGTTGTGATCGTCAGATTGGCCCAGATTCAATCTGGGCCATTGGGTTATATGTAGCTGTAGGCTAGTGGGCCGACACCAACTTTTTCTCTATATATATTTGTAATAATATATAGTTATACTCATGGTGGTATGTTGTTCATACGCATCAAGGTCTTGGGTTCGAAGCCCAGCTTGACGCCATGGATGTCCCGCCTCTCTCTCTCAAATCATCATCATCATTGCCTTTTCTCAATTACGCTCTCTCAAATACTTATAATAAATATATAATTATATATTATAACTATAATTAATTATATGTGCTATAATATATAATTAATTTATATATTATAATAGAAATATTATACTATAATATTAAATATAGATATATATAATTATTATACTTAATTATATAATAACTATAATTAATTATGTATAATAATATATAATTATTATACATAATTAATGATAATATATAATAATATATAATTAACATTAATTATGTGTAATAATTATATGTATTATAATTTATAAATAATTATATATTACTATATATAAGTAATTTTTATATTATAATTGATAACTATATTATAATATCTGTATTATTATAACATATATTACTATATAAAAGTAACTTGTATATTACAATAGGTATATAATATTATAATATATAATTGATATATTATTATATGCAATAATTAATATATTATAATATCTGTATTATTATAACATATATAATATTCTAATATTATATTAGAATAGTATAATATACTATAATAGTATCTATTATGACATATATTACTATATAAATGTAATTTTTATATTACAATAGGTATTCTAATATAATATTCTAATATATAATTGATATATTATATACAATATTTAGTGCATATTAATAACATATGTAATATTCTAATATTATATTAGAAGAGTATAATATACTATAGTATTATAATATATAATTGATATATTATATACAATATTTAGTACATATTAATGACATATGTAATATTCTAATATTATATTAGAATAGTATAATATACTTTTATAGTATACATGGTAACATATGTTACTATATAAACATAATTTGTATATTACAATGGGTATATAATATTATAATTTATAATTGATATATTATATACAATATTTAGTACATATTAATAACATATGTAATATTCTAATATTATATTATAATAGTATAATATGTATACAATATTATATAATAATAATATTGTATTATATAAATTTTAGGGAGACACGTTTTCTAGACAATCCAAACAGTGGACATGCATCTTCAAGTACCATATGCTATCCAAACAACAAACATCTATATTCTAGGAGATTACATTCCAGGAGATACCAATTTCAGGAGAGGCATCTCTCGAGGATACCTATTTCTAGGGAACCAAATGGGTGAGATTGATAAGTGGCTATACATCGCAAAGCATAATACAATAATCAAGAACATTGACATTCTATGCAGTAAACTTTTCCTTCAAAATTTCATTTTTTAACTTCTTGATGCTTGCTGAAATAATTCAGAAAATGATGTTTATAGGTCCTGAATTAAGATGCCCATATATTTTGTTTATGCTCAGTGTTCTAGTATATGCATGATGCAATATTGCAACTAATACTGAATACTTTTATGATAGTTAATAGGTGCTGCCCTTTTTTTCTTCTTCTTTTTAGTAGTGCACCTGAAAATGTGCGTGGGAATTCTAGCTTCTGTTTTTATCGCCTACTTTTTGTGGGTGGCAATATCAAAAACTAGCGCCACATTTCTAACATAAAGTATTTTAAAAGTAAAAAATATGTTTATGAACAAAATATATGGTGATGTCTGAGAACATAATGTCTAAAACTAGAATAATGTTAAGGAAAAATATGATATGATATATCAGAATTGAACTATGGACGTAATATTTTTATACTAAGATAAATGATATATCTCTGTACCACATACAATAATTTTGTTCTATATTGTATTGTAAATTATCTTTATGCATTATATATTATGAAAGTAATCTACTCAAATTGTGTTGGACAGGGTACTGGTATCTGTATTATTGTCCTAGATTTTGGTAAATTCTAAGTCATATATTTGTTTCTTATACTGTCTGCATTATTACTTGCGGGCATCTTAGGTTTCAAACTGATCTAAGTTAGTGATGGAGGAAAGAATTATACTTACTTTTAATTTCTATTCAATTTTAAAGGATATTTTGATTTATTTTTAGGATTTTTAGTTTTTAAGGAATTCTAGGGTTTTTATTTTATTTTTTGTTTATTTCATGAGTACTATTCATGAGTACTGTTCATGGGGGTAAAAATGTCATTATGAAATTTACGTTTAAGTTAGGATATATAGGTCATTTTAATCACTGTATAGACATGTAATGTCTTTGTACATTGAATTATAATATATAAGAGGTATGTGAGGCTTGAGTTATTACTAAAAAGAAAAAAATATCTGAAAATGGTATACAATCGATTCATGCCTCTAACTGCAAAGGTTTACCTTGTTCTGAAGTATTGATGTAATTGCTTTGGCTACATCTCTTTTCATAGTGGAAGGTAGAGGCTTTGGTTGTGGCTGCTTTCATCAAATTTTTTTTTTTCCTGGATTGTCTTTGTGTTGCCCATGATCAATGCGTAGGTTAACTATTTTTAATTCTTCCGAGTGATGCTTGGGCTATCTACTTGGTGCCTTTATGGTATGGTCAGATATCCCAATTATAAATTGACTGGCTTAGAGTGATTTTGTGGATGGAAGTGGAGATGAATGATATTCCCCTTGCACTTGGAGGAATAACTGTTGACCATTTAATTACTCCGTCTTAACTTGAAACTTCTAGCAATTTGAATACAGTAATTTGGAAGTAGTTCAGGACTTCTTAGTTTCATGTCTTACTGATGGTTGTTTTTGTGCTTATCTAAAGTGATGCCATCATTGTCTAGGAAGTTTAAATTGCAACCAGGCATCATTTTGTGTGTTCCATGGCTTAAGAATTATCTTCGTCAAATTTTGTCATTTTGGAGCTCAAAACTCAGTCAGAAGTTTAATCACATGCCCCATGAAAAAAAATTCAGAGCTGTTAGTTTCTTGAGGTATTTTTGACTATTTGTCAATCACTACAGCTGTTTGAGGTGTATTCTATTAGGGTTATAATAATTTTGTTCTTTTGTTTGGATGTCTAGGGTTAGATTGAATGGAGAATTACAATTAATGTGATGATGAGGGTTAAGGTTAATTGTGCACAAAGGCAGGTTTAAGTTTATTTTATTTTTTTCCTTTTTTCTTTTTAATAAGTAGTTGTTATGGTACTACTGTAGGCAATATTCAATTATTATTCAGTGCTATTGGGACTTTGAGTTCCTTGAGCTTTTCAGATCATGTTATTGTTGTTATGCTCTCCTCATATTCAGAAATTTTTTGTGCTTTTTAATTCTCAATGCATGATTATGTGTTGGATCATGGCTGAATGTTATCAACATTTCTCTAGTTATGCATCTGGTTCATCCGATGTTTCAAGAGTTTTATAGTTCAAGGCTTGGTGATCCCCCATACTTGTAGCTATGTTATTGTGTATGATGATGGCCATCATATGGAGAGCCAATTCTTAAGACAAATAACTGTTGGGATCGATTGGTAAAAAATCAGCAAGGGTTTAAAACTATTGTGCATTCATATCAATATAAACAAGCAATGAAAACTATACAATATCAAAGCAAGAACATGGAATGAAAAATCCAGCAACATTTAATTCACAGAGCACAAAGATTTAATGTGGTTCGGTCACAAATCATGGCCTACATCCACGGGAAAATGGCGCGAGACTTTACTTAATGATTTGAGAAGATTACAAGGTGAAATCGAGCTCAAAATATCAATTTCCAGCAACCCTTTTTGACTCTAAACTAAGCTAAAAAATAAGGCTCCAAGAACACCAAAAAATGAGTTCTCTTTAACACATTATCTCACTAAAACAGGGCACACAGCAAACCCATAATGGAGTTCAAGCCTTTTGCTCACTTTCTCTCTCTAAAACAGAGCATACCAAGCTCTCAAGAGAAAACCCAATTGCAGCCCAATCTCTCAACCGTTTTCTCACTCTTTCTCTCTCTAAACAAAAGGGTTTTAATCCCTTTAAACGAGTAAAGTTCCTATAACACCACAACCATTAGATTAGACGCAATCCAATGGCCCAAAATAAAAGAGAGAAAGTTAAATAAAACTCCCACATGTGTGATTTGTTTTCACATATGTAACAATAACCTGCTGGATTCAAAGGATTTTGTTTGCTTATCAAAATATTGCTTCTAACCTTTAATTTCTTCTTAAGACAGTTTGAAGGACTTTGATTTTAAGTATGTTTCAAAATTATTATTATTATTTTATTTTTATTTGCTTTTGATTGTTATTAGTTATTAGCGAGGTTACATCAAGTTGCATTATACAAATCAAGGGACAACCTGAAAGTCATATTAAAAACGTCTTTGTCCATGGTGTTTATTCAGAGCTTTTCAGCGTCTTGCATGTGATAAGAGTCATTCGTGGGGTTTCACAAATTGCCAACACAGAGTAGTCATATCTTGATAAATAAAGTGAAGTAGACCATCACTTAGAGGAAGGATTCAAAATTAGGAAATCATCATATATTTATTTTATTCAACAATAGTACAAAATGGTAATTTTGGTGATCCATGGCTTATTCATAAATGAGCTCACAGGTTCCAATGTTGGGATTAATTTAAACTATCTTGATTGATGTTTCCTCTGGCTCATTTTTTTTTCTTTCTATGACCGTGTTGTCAAGCTTGGCCGAGTCCACTAGGCTTTTTCGACATGTATTTCATTACTCTCTGAATCCAGTGTCACAATTTGCAGTTTGAGTCGATAATGCTTTGGTTGTGCTACTTTGATTCCAATGCCCTACATCTCTTGAATAGGACACCTTTGATATCCTTGAGATCTTCATCTTGAAGCTTATCATCGATCAGATCTCCTAAGAGATCTTGTTGTTCATTTGAGAATGTATCAAAGATAGCTGGTGAATCCTAAACTACAACTGGCCGAATTTGGAAACAACTTGATGAAAATAAAGAGTCTCTTTGATTGGCCTCCTCAATATCATGAACCAAGTTGTACTCACAAGCAGTGAGATTACCTCTCCTGTGGTTATAGTCGAGCTATGCTCGTCAAAATCCTGAATGTCCACCTTCAAAAAAAAAAACCCTGGAGTGATTTGTCCTGTACGTCCAGGTCTTCTATTAGTTTCCCCTTTATTTGACTCCTCACATGGAACGTGACGGTGAAAAGGTTGTAAGCGATTTCTTCTTAGGCCGAAAGAATACTATCTTTCCTATAAGTGATGCCTGCGAGTTGTCGTGCAAGCTGCTGAACTTGCTTCCTAAGATCTTCAATTTCTTCATATCTGACATCACGGGGTAGATCCATGAGAGCTCTCCTTCCGGGACCCCTTCTTCTTGGCATAGGTTCACCTAAATCACAAACCCTAGGCATAAAATCTGCATACCTTAGGCTGAATTCAGTAAGATCTGGACTGAATTAAGTAAACCCTGGGTTGAAATTAACAAATTCTTGGTTGAAATCAGCAAATTTCGGTCCAAATTCAGCAAATCCCAGACTTGACCGAAAATTTCCGCCCTTGTTGCTCAAGAATCTTGTGCTCTGATACTAATTGACAGAGAAATTTGATGAAAAAAATTAGAAAATTAGCAAATTCCATGCAAAACACAAGTTCAAATTGAAGGAAACTAGGGTTTCCTCCCCAAAACTCTAACTAGGTTCCAATCTAAAGCTCAATGTTTTTCTTTAAAACTCACATGAATGACCCCAAGCCTCCACGCACCGTTATTTATAGTTTAACTGGAGAACAAAAGTTCAAGAAAACCTTAGCCAAAACAAAAAAATCGACTAAATCCAACTTAAACACAAAATTTGTAAGGACATTTTTATATGTGATAAAATAAAATATTCCATAAGCATTCTAACTACTTTACTAAACAACTCTTAAAATCCTAAAATATAATTGAACCCTAGGATCCTTAAAAACAAATTAAATAGCCTAAAATTAAAATTAAAATATACATCCTTTGAAGTTAAGCAAAAAAGGTTAGAAATGAGAATAATTTTGTCTTGCATCATTTTGTTTATGCTTTTGGGCCTTGTATAGTACTCCACTGGGGCAAGTAACCCAGCTCAAGCCAGGGCCGAGTACTTGGCCTGAGGCAAGTTTGAAAATGTTGGTCTCTAGTTACAAGCAGTTTATTTTTTTGGACTAGGGTAGTGGTGGGATTCAAAACCTGGATGTGATATGTGTACGTCTGCTTGGTTTGGTTCTTGTTTAATTATTTGGAGCCTTGACCTCCCTCACACAAACCAGGTGCCTTCCCATTAGCACTAGACCAGGTGCCTCTCACCAATGAAAACAATATAGTGTAGGCTTTCTCAAAAAATATTTCTTTGAGCAAGTAGTCAGGTATAGTGATGATATGAGAAGATGTCTATGGAGGTTCTTGATGGGCAACTTCTTACATTGGAGGCCTCATCTTAGGAATGAGGTCTCATATTTTACTAAGGAAACCATGGTGAACATGCTTAATTTTGGGAATGCTCATAGGGTGTAAAGCTTTAGGAATTTGTATTGAGGATTTTTCAGGTTACTCATTTCCTTAAAGCTAAAAAATATTAATTTGACTCTCAATACCTTTGCCTTTTACTACAAAAACTATTTGAATGAGGGTACTTTTTGTCATTTGTGAGGGGGATAATAGATACTTTTAGAAGTGGAAAATGACATTTTTTTAGTTGTTAGAAAGCAATTGATGCTCCATGTGGATGATGCCACAGTTCAAGATGATGTCACATCCCATTTGAGTGATGTCATTTCCCACATTGCTTAATAAATATTTTTATTTTTACTAAAATTTCTACTCTACCATTCATTAGTTACCTAAAATATCCCTAGTAAAAAAGTTACTATATTAAGGAGTACGTGTATCAAGTGTCGAAAAATGATTAGTTTTGGGGAATATACCATGGAGTAGCTTAACAGTTACAAAACCCTTATCAGAATATCATCAACTATTTCTGGTTTTACTAACAGAGACTTTTGGAGACAAACATCTAACCTATAAGCTTGAAATGTTAAGCTCTTAGGTGACCTTTTGAATTTAAATTTTTCTTCTTTTAGCTGTGGAACTGGCCTCAAACATGTTCTGCTTACCACTTCCCCTATTTTCTGAGCTTAGGTTTGTTGGGTACGAAGCTTGAGACTTTAGGACATCCCAATTGTGAAAATCTTGTTCATTTTAGTAAAATTCGTGGGGTTCTGAATAACTTTCCATATTCAGTCAGCATAGCATTGTGTTGAAGGTTTCATTATTTTTTTAGGTATATTGAGTTTCTGGAAACAAGTTTATGCATTTTTAGATTATCTTTCTCTTGTTTTGGTTGCAGTTAGCAATATGATTGGGTTACACCTCTGGGTACTTTATTTGTCTGCTTCATTGTTACTTACTGATTTTTGTAATAAATCTGTGCTGATCATTATACAGCATTCCAATGGAGAAACTGATGGTTTATCGACTAAATGTTGGGCGTTTTACTGAAGACATGAGCAGTCTCCTACCAAAGGATATTGCTGGTACCTTTCTTGGTGTGATTCAGAAGTTGCACCATTTAAAAAATCTTGGTAGGTGGACTTTACTTAGTTGAGTTTCTGCTATTTTAGACCACCTTTTGGGAATGTAGTTATTACAGTTGGAATAGAATGTCTCAGGATCAGTTGTTTGACAAAAGCCTCTAAGCAGGGGTCAATGCACTTTTGTTGGAGCCCATATTCCCCTTTGACGAGCTGAAGGGACCCTATTATCCTTACAAGTAAGTTTTTGTGCATTAATATTTCTTCAAATCCTATTATGGATGTCCTGTATGGGGTTGCAACTCATGGTTTCATGAGCGTGTCTAACATAAAATAAATGCTGAGATGGCAACAAGTGGACGCTTTATTTCTAGTGTGTTGCTAAGAATAAACAATTGGCATGTTGTCATTGTTGAGAGTTCTGTCAGAATTTTCGCTGATATCTATACTCCATCTAGTTAAATCGAGGGCCGATTGGGATACTATATAGCATATACGACTATGCTATACAACATCGCTAGACCAGACTATGCTACTTTACTATTATACCATATCATACTGCTATATTATACAACTATACAACATTGCCAGTGAATCTGGATCCTTTGTAGCTCATGATCTTGATCCCTAATAGGAACAATTAAGATTCCAAAGTTTAAACAATACAGAGTGAGATTGTCTTCCCTGGAGTGCAGGGGATAAGATTCCATAGAGGAACCAACCTTTGGTTGTAAGGTCTTAGTAACAATGGTTCCAAGTGATGGTAAAGATTCACCACCTGCAACATTAGATCTGATAATTTCATATTCATGATTAGGGCCCATAGAAGATCAAATATTTATTTTTATTCCACCCTTTCTCTATGTTCTTTTGCACAATGAAAGCAATTTATGGGATGGTAGCAGTCATCCGAAAATCCCTGTAATGTAGCATGATAGTTTCCAATGGATATATATATATAGATATATATATATATATATAGGAAAATTCTTCCCAACACCTATAGGCAAAAATGAATAGTGATTTCGCCTAACCTCATGACCATCCAAATTTCATTTCCTGGTCACGATTATTCGGTAGTATTTTAT